ATTAGAAGTTTGATTAGTACTAAGTTGATGTTTTCATACGTTTTATCGATTGCTCCATGTTTAACATGGATGAAGACATGCTTGTTATAGCCTTGCTTAAATCTGTCAGAACTTTCGGCACTGCTTTCAGATCTACACTCATCGGTTCCTCTTCTACCTCCGCTAGCAAGTCATTTTCTTCGTGGTCGGAAGGCATAATTCCTTCCTCAATTTCTCGCTTCCATTTTCAAAAAACACAACCGTTCACTCGTGAAACTACGCGGGCAACTGAACACTCGATCTGCGTGCGCATATCTCACATGACTCCTTAGTGACGTAGTCCAATGACGAAATAGAATTAAAATAACATTAAAGGTACGTTTAGACGCTGCGATTTGTCGGGCCGATTTTGCTCGCTGTATGTAAATAACCTGTCGTCAGTACTCGCGTCAGCACCTTGCGATTCACAAAGTCGGGAGAAAAATCTGGAACAAAGCACAGATTTTTCTCACGATTCAACGATTTTTCTTCCGTTGTAAAGTTGTTGAAAACTTTTCGCACGCAGAAAACTATAACATGAACAGACGAGAGTGGACAGCTTCAATTGAACGTTTAAATCGCTAAATGTCGAAGAAGGGGCATCGATTATTTACCAAAATCGGCCCGACAAATCGCAGCGTGTAAACGTAGCTTAAGTTCTTTGTATGATTGCATGGCGATAAAGTATAATTGTTTATTAATTGTATATTAATTTTAAATGACGCGAGCCAACAGATCACGACACTTTTGTATATAAAAAGGGCGTGTGAATTAAACAAGTCACATATTATTAGCACTGATGAAGATCCGGGCTTAGGATCGAAAGCTTTGCAGTGATAAATTTACGTGGTGTTTCCACAAAACAACAACAATTAAAATAACATTACAACACAAAACATATTAGTTACTATCTTTTCCCTGAAAAATAGCAAATCCGCCAAAATATGGCAAGTCACATGACCAGATAGCCCTAGCCAGGGTCTCCCAAGAGAGGCCCGTCTATCCCCAAGAGAGACCCTGGTTCCAGATTGATATCACTCCGTATCAATTATCTTCTTTTCTTGTATTTATTATTCAATATTCATGCTGTTTTATGGCAGATACTGTACTTACCTGCGATATATACTGCCTTAGTTCAATGTCGGGTATATCAAAGCTTGAGTGGCAGTTTCGTCTTGGTCTCTTGGTTTTACTTTGTTTCCAGTTGCAGCCCAGTACTGTTTCACTGCTTTCGATAACCATACATAAATGGGCCTCCATGGAGAACAGAATGACCAATAATGCGACCCACTGCTCTGAATGCTCCAGTACATCTGAGTGTTTGTTGCTCCAGTACATCTGAGTGTTGGCTTTCCTTTCGAACCAATTCCTTCCTGCACAATTTTCATTGCACATAAAAGAAATTCACGGATTGGCCCACTCCCTGCACCTTCTTCGCCTTCAAAGCGAACTCGCATTTTAGCCCTCAAGTTACAATCATGTTGTTTGCAGCAACCTAAAATGTCCCTTTTCAAATATTCCAAACCTTCTTCTCGTGATACGAAAAAATGCTGTCGTTTTGCTGAACCATCCAAGTTGTCTTCTCTGAATTTGTCAAGTTTGGACTGCACAGGCGCATCGTCTGATTCCCGTATAGATTCGACGACCAGAGGCGGCAGAATATCGGGGAAAACGTCATCTTCTAAGCCTGTTAATTTTATGAATGAGAATTTACGAAGAAAAATTTGGGCAAAAATGAATTATTGTAAGCATGTATATTGTACTGTACCTAAAAGATCTTGCGCAGCAGCATCTAAATTCCATTTGCATTATTCAGAGCAGTTTCAATCTCTGCTGAGGTTGCACTAGGGACCAAATCAGCTAATGTAGTCTTCTCTGGAGAATCCCTAATGTAAAATAAAAAATGTCAAATACAGTATATTTCAGCCGCCCTCCCTTGTCCGACATTAATGTCCGAATTAGGGAATTCTAATATTAATTATATAATATATGCATGTTGTTAAATAGATATAGATTAGTGTATTTAGAAATTGTAATTTTTGTTATATTCACGACCCTGTCAGCTTTTATTAGATGTACATGTATCTTCAATCAATCAATCGCACGTTGAGCAAATGCACCAAAACTCCCGTAGTTTACCCTATAGATTACACCATACCTTACACTCCCATTGCTACTCTTTACAATACAATAAAATTTATTAGGTTCCCCGAGAGGATCTTCATACCTAATTTACACGATTAAATATCTGAAATTATACAATATTATAAACTAGTTATTTATATACTATAAAATTAAGCAAGCCAACTTCTAAGAAGATGGCTTCTCAAACTACGTTTAAAACAGTTCAGGCTGGCTAAATCACGGAGCTCAGATGGCAATGAGTTCCATATCACCGCGCCTCTATAACAAAATGAATTCTGAGCCAGTGCAGTGCGGCACCTTGCTAGATTCAGGTCATTGGTGTTCCTTGTATTATAATTATGAATGTCTGATCTTTTTTGAAACATATTAATCAGGTAATTCGGTGCTTGATTATTCATGCACTTAAACATTTGAACACCGTCTCTAAGTCTAAAAGCCTCGGATACTGGAAGTAGTTTTAACTCTTTGAGGGTGGGTGTAATATGTTCATATTTCCTCTTTCCTGACAACAGGCGGGCTGCAAAGTTTTGCACTTGTTGAAGTTTAGCAAGATTTGATTTGCTAGTACCTGACCATACCGAGGAGCAGTAGAATAACTTTGTAAAAACAAGCGAGTTAATTACAATGAAAAGTGTAGATTTGTCAAATAGGTGACGAATTCTACTAATCATTGCTAACTTGCCCATAAGATCGCTTGTTAAAGCGTCTGTGTGATCGTTAAATGATAAATGTTTGTCTATTATCATTCCGAGGTCCTTCACCGAATCAACGACAGGTAATTCCTTCCCTAGAAACGTTATCGGCGGGATAATTGTCTTCGCTAGCATTCTATTAGAGCCAAACACACAGAACTCTGTCTTACCAGGATTTATAAGAAGATGATTCTCACAGCACCATGAAGCAACTCGATTCAAATCGTGTCTAAGGTTATCAAGGCCTTCATTTACATCCTTATTCGAAAATGAGATATAAAGTTTTGAATCATCTACATAAGATTCAACGTTGCAAGTCTGGCAGACTGATGGTAAGTCGTTTATGTAGAGATTAAACAACAGGGGTCCCAGGATAGACCCCTGTGGAACTCCATGTTTGATTGGTAAAGAATCCGAAAGAGAGTTTTGAATACGTACGCATTGTGTTCTGTCAGTTAAGTAGCTTTGAAACCAAGCCAAGGTTAGATCAGGAATATTGAACTTTCGTAGTTTATCTAGCAATCTCCGATGGTCAATGCTATCAAACGCTTTGCTCAAGTCCAACATAAGAACGGCTGTCACCTTTTTCTCGTCGATAGCCCTGTAAAGATGACTAGTGAACAGGATTCCCAACGTTTCCGTTGAATGGCATTTCTTATTTCCACTCTGGTGATCAGAGAGCATGTTGTTGGTTGTTAGATAATCAACAAATTGGTCATGTGCTAGTCTTTCCAAAACCTTTGACATTACTGGTAGTAGAGAGATGGGACGATTATTACCGGCTACTTCATGGTCCCCCTCTTTTAGATGCGCCACTACCTCAGCATGTTTCCAGTCCTTCGGGAAACATGCAGTTGAAAGTGATGTATTAAACATGTCTGTAATTACAGGTAAGATGGAAGGGAGACACATCTTGAGAACTTTCATACCAACTTTATCATACCCCGGAGCCTTGTTTGTCGGCATATTCATGATAGAGTGAACATGTCATGCCGTCGACTCAAGTCATGCCGCGATGGCACTGCAGCTCTTCTCCAGCGCAGAAAGTCTTTTTATAGCGGACAAACTAAGTTAAACTCAAATAACCCACACTGAGTAAAGCATTTTAATACATTCGTATTATTTCTGTATTTTGTTTACATCATGTCTCTGAGATTTATAAACAGGTTTTTTTGTCTAGCCAATCACATCACTTCATGTGACTGCTAATTATAACTAACCAATCATGTGCTTGGTACAAATTTTGTACCAAAGGAAGAGAGATTTGTATCGCGTGCCACCAGAGGTTCTCTTCGCCTCGCGTAAAATAAATATACGAGCGGGAATAAGGCGAAAGATACAGAACCTCTGGCAACCAGGGTACCTAGACCTAGGCCTTCTATTTTTATTTATATATTTTTAATATTCAGTGCTTTTTCACATGAAAAGACTGGGACTAGGTGATTTGGGGGCGGGGCGGAGGAAGCAAGCCTAGAAGGCCTAGTGGATTTCCCAACAACAAGGCCAAAACTGCCTGAAACTGCCCTGGTTGCGAAATGCCCAATTATTGCGTTCTCAAACAGAATTATTTGCAACTTAACGGCGAATTTAAACCGATACAGGTAAAATAAACTCATTTATAGTATAAACTTACTATTTTTATTTGTATACACGTCTAGAAAATCGGGTTTTTTATCATAAAGTTCGAAGCAACACTATTATTTAATATGTTGACAAGGTGTAGCGAAAGCACAAAATGAGTCAAAATATATACCAAAAGTAGAATCTTTCATGAAATTTTGTCTTATACACAACTACATTAATATATATTTTCTCAATTTTGGCAAGAAGCAGTCTTGTGTTTGTAAAATATAGAAACACATATACAATTATAATTTATTAAATAAAACGGATACATATATTATTAGCTCGTACAGTACTGTATATAAAAACGTACATTGTTTACAAATGGTATATTCGTAATGTTTGAACAATAATTTCAAAATCCTCATTCCCAATTCGCAAATATAGTTATTCAAAGCAAAACAGTAGATTGTCTTGCGAATAAAAGAATTATTATTTTGTGCTTTCGCTTCACCTTGTCAACATAATAATAGTGTTGCTTCAAACTTTATGATAAAAACCCGATTTTCTAGACGTGTATACAAATAAAAATAGTAAGTTTATACTATAAATGAGTTTATTTTACCTGTATCGGTTTAAATTCGCTGTTAAGTTGCAAATAATTCTGTTTGAGAACGCAACAATTGGGCATTTCGCAATCAGGGCAGTTTCAGGGCAGTTTTGGCCTTGTTGTTGGGAAATCCACTAGGCCTTCTATTTTTTCGCTTGCGTCAGGCTTGTGTCCTTCCTCCGCCACGCCCCCAAATCACCTAGTCCCAGTCTTTTCATGTGAAAAAGCACTGAATATTAAAAATATATAAATAAAAATAGAAGGCCTAGGTCTAGGCTGGGTCTAGGCTGCACCGCAACATATGGTGACGGAAGTTAACTCTACATTGTAACCGGAAGTAGAACGGAAGTTGAAGGAAAATTGACCTTTCATCTTCCATGACCTTTTAATCGAATTAACGGTTTTCATAATTTGAACAATAACAAATTTTAAAAAATATTGCGAAATTCAAACTCAAATATGGAACGTTTTGTCACTAAAAGAAATGCGAATCACCGTTTCAAAAGCAATGCACGCTCTTGTATCTAGATGGTATAAAGCTTTTCAATAATTTTAAAACAATTGTTCTTGAATCGATCAACCGTGAATATATCCACGACTTTGAACTTTGTCTATGACTGCATGTAATCCAAACGGCAGTCTTTACAAAAACCGGTCACGATTTAAACTCGTCTTCGGCGCGTGTGCAGACTTAAGATATATCAATAGACTATTTAAATTCAAAAATAAACTATACATGTACCTATGGGGCGAGAAAATGGCAGTAAATTTAAATAAACTCTAAAACGGTTTCGTTAATTCGGACCTTTTTGTAATAGACTTTTTGTATTATAAATACCGGTGCATTTTGGCTTGTATTTTGTAGATTTTGTATGAATTATCAAATAAATGACAATTCTTTCGACAACTCAATTCAAGGAGAATTCAATTCAGTGACAATTTAATAAGTGACAATTTATATGAGCATATTGTTATTTTGAAACTGTATGCTATAAATCATAAAAATACTGTATGAGCCTGTAATATATTATATATGATTAATATGAATCAGTTGGAAAAATACTTTTCGTCATGCGCAATATCTTTTAAGTGCGTAACTACGTCACTTCCGTCACCATCTATTGCGGTGCATGTTGAAACAAAATAAGCCAAAATTGTAGTCCCAAAAATTTCGGTTTAATAGCCGTTTCTTAAAATTTCCTTGTACAGGTATGCTAAGTGTACCATATCTAAACTGCACACAAAAAATAAAAGGTTTATCATTTGTTACCCTGAGAGAAGAGCCTGATTTCCCCTCGAGTGGAAAATAAGGCTCTTCCGTTTTTATGTTTTTGTTCGTCCAAAATTCTTGACGAAGTAAACCGGACAAACCGGTAATAAACCAGTTCTAACCGGTTTCGAATGCGCGCGCCCTCGTTTTGCATGTAAACCGACGACTAAAATTTGAGCCCGCTATGTATTTACAAAATTTTAAACTTTATACTTTAATCAAACTGTGGCGAAAATGCCGGCTTTTGTTGACGCCTTGCGAATGCAAAATAACTCCCCGTAAACAACATATTTCTACAGCAAACTCTCGCTTAGTCTTCAGATGCACTTGTATGTTCGGTTTTACGAGTTAAACAAGGAAAATATCCAAGAAACACTGGTAAATTATCGTTGTCAAAAAACATTTCAGTGCCGAGGCAGGAGCAAGATCTCAAGGGCAAGTCAAGTTGTCGATTTCATTACATTTTCATAAATTTCACAGTACTTCGAATGTTTTCGAACTCTTGCGTCATACAAGAGCAGTAAACGCACG